GTCACTCAACCCCAACCCTACTTTTTGTCAGTCTTCAGTCAAAGCAGACCTGTGTTAAAGAAAACTGCCTTAGAGTCACCACCACAATCCCAGAGCTCAAATTCACAGCCTGTGCCTTTGTTGTTGCTGGTGACATGTGGGTTCTCAAACTCTAGGATCCTAAAAATACAAACACCACCTTGTATTAGGAAGGACCTTTATTAGGAAGCAGTTTTGGAATACCACGCACAGCACCTAAGGTAGGGAATGAATGGTGTTTCACGGATGTTCTAGATATGTACATTGGACAGGCTCACCTCACACCTTGTGTTGGGTTGTATTCAGTGATGTCTGAAGATTCAGTCAGAAAGTTGGCCAACACTGTTTTGCCACTCTGAAAGTAAGAGCAAATAGAGCCCTCATCAATCATGTATGGTGGCACACACCTGTAACCCCAGCACTCAGGTGGCTGAGGCAGCAAGAATGCAGTTTCCAAGCCGGCCTGGGCTACACAGTGAGACCCTGGACTAGCTGTGGTGAAGCACTGGCCATGACTCCTGGAGATCTCTAGGACAGAGAGTTCTTGATGTCTGGAAGGATGCTGTCTTGTCCTAACGAAGTAGGCAGAACATGGGTTGGGTCCCAGTGTGGGCTCCCAAAGAAGTGGCTTCCTTCCATCTTGACATAAAGTCAGAGAATTCAAGCCTATTATTACTCCTTCAAGTATGTTTGGCCCAAGGTGTGGCTACTGTATGTCTTGCCTTGACTGCAGGAAATTTGGTCTAAAGTGTAGCTAATGGCTACCTCATCTTGACTAAGAATATGTGGTAACCAGTTGTTTTGGGTATTGAGAAGGTAATTACTCTTGCTTGTTCCTTGTATCTTGGCAAGGAAATCTTTTACCTTCTCCTTTTGATTGGGGGTATATAAGAACTTTGAGTAATAAACTTGGGGCTGATCCTGGTATTCACAGGGCACCTTCCCAACTCTATGTCTTGTTTATAGCCTGTTTCTTTTCTCAATCCACACTCTTCCAAGCATGGACTGGGCTAGCTGGAGGGACCGGATAACCCAGTATGCCTTTCCTACAGCCTGCTGGCACTCAAGTTAACTTATCTGAGAAAAGAAAACCAGAAAGCAAATAACCACAAAATCCCAGGTAAATGTGTATCCCACCACCCCTTCCCAGCTTCTCTCCATAGCTTTAGCCAATCAGTGTGTTACAGATATAAGGTCACAAAGAGGATCAAGGTCAATGCTAAGACCCAGGTTTGTGAATCTTGCTGGCTGGGTCACAAAGTCAGCAATCTACTTCTCCTCATGTATTTTGTAAGTAATCATCCACCCACCCACCCATCCATCCATCCACCCATCCATCCATCCACCCATCATCCATCCACCCATCATCCACTCATCCATCCATTCACTCATCCACTCATCCATCCATCCACCCATCATCCACCCATCCATCCATCCATCCATCCATCCATCCACTCATCCATTAAACCACCCAATGCACCTCCCCATCCATTCACCTTTCTACTCAACTACCCATCACCTTTCAACCATCCATCCAGTCAACTACTCACTCACCCATACCCATCTATCCATGCATCCAACCACTAATCCATCTATAATTCAACACCCATTCATCACCATCCATCCACCTCTCTACTCAACTACACACTCACGCTTGTCCATCCATCCATCCATCCATCCATCCATCCATCCATCCACTCAACTGCCCTATTACCCTTCCATCCATCCATTCTTCTACCCATTCACTCAACAACTCACTTACCCATCCACTGTGTTAAACACCAAACCTAGATTTGTAACATATTTTGCAAACTTTCTCCAAACCACAACTGTGCTGGCCTAGGACTCACTATGTTGATCAGGCTGGATTCACCTATCTCTGCCTCCTCAGTGCTGGAATTAAATACAGGTACCATTGTGCCCAGTCTGTGTGTGTGCCTGTGTATGTTGAGTGCCTGTGCCCACACAGGCCCGAGCTGTCCGATCTCCTGGCATTGGAACTTACAGGCAGTTGTGAGCCAGCTGGCATGGGTGCCTGTTGTGGAATATTAGTTTAAGATATGTTACATTTGTTTATGCTATGGAATATTTGTTTAATGATTCAAAGATGTGTTGCATTCTTTTTTTTTTTTCAAGACAGGGTTTCTCTGTGGCTTTGGAGCCTGTCCTGGAACTAGCTCTTGTAGATCAGGTTGGTCTCGAATTCACAGAGATCCTCCTGCCTCTGCCTCCCAAGTATGGGATTAAAGGTGTGCTCCACCACAGCCCGGTGTGTTGCATTCTTTTATGTTACATGTGTTTAACTCTGTGAAGCTGTGTTACTTTGCCTGCATAAAACACCTGATAGGTCTAATAAAGAGCTGAACAGCCAATAGCTAGGCAGGAGAGGAATAGGCAGGACTGCCAGGCAAAGAGTAAACAGGAGGAGAAATCTAGACTAGAAAAGGATGTAAAAAGGGGGAAGATTGGGAAGATTGAGAAAAGGGGGAGAGGAGGATGCTAGAGGTCAGCTAACCAGCCAGCCAGAGAGTAAGAAGGAAAGAAAGATATAGAATAAAATAAGATTGAGTTGGAGAGATGGCTCAGAGGTTAAGAGCACTGACTGCTCTTCCAGAGGTCCTGAGTTCAATTCCCAGCAACTACATGGTGGCTCACAACCATCCGTTATGAGATCTGGTGCCCTCTTCTGGTGTGCAGATATACATGGAAGCAGAATGTTGTATACATAATAAATAAAATCTTTAAAAATTTTTTAAAAAGAATAAAATAAGATTAAAAAGCCCAGAGGCAGCCAGGTGTTGGTGGTGAACACCTTTAATCCCAGCACTTGGGATGCAGAGACAGGTGGATCTCTGAGTTCGAGACCAGCCTGGTCTACTGAACGAGTGCCAGGACAGGCTCCAAAGCTACAAAGAGAAACTAGAAACCCTGTCTCAAAAAAAGAAAAAAAAACAAACAATAAAAAACAAAACCAAAAATAACAAGCCAGAGGCAAAGAAGAAGAGAAACAGGATAATTTAAGTTAGAAAAGTTGGCTAGAAACAAGCCAAGGTTGGGCATTCATAAGAATAAGTCTCCATGTTTTTATTTGGGAGCTGGGTGGTAGGCCCCCAAAGAGAAAACAACAACAACAAACAAACAAACAAACAAACAAACTACAGGTGCTGGGAACCAAAGGAAGATCTCTGCAAGAGCACTATTCGATCTTAATCAGCGAACCATCTTTACAGCTCTGCTGTCATTCCCTTTAAGCTGTCTCCTCTTCTCTGCTCCATGCTAGCCTCTTAACCACTATGTAGCCCAGACTGCCTCAGACTCATGGCAATTCTCCTGTCTTAGTCTCCCAGGTGCTGAGTTATAGGCCTGCACTACCACATGTGGCTCAGTCTGTCCTAGCTTTTGTGCATGATAAACATCTCACCTAACTGAGGATTAGAATTCTTTTTGGTAGGTTTTATGTGTCCCAGGCTTGCCTCAGACTTGTGGCCAGGTCCCAGTCATCCTGACTCCACCTACTGAGGCGTGTGCCACCATGAAAGTTTTATGTGGTGCTAAGGATTGAACCCAGGGACTCCTGTATGCCATTCAGCTACATCCCCAGCCTCCTAACTTAAGATTAAAAACACACCTTTGCCATATATTCACCTATGAATGTACAGTGGTTCTCATGTTTGGTCTATGGATCAATGTACAAAATACGAATTCCTACATTCTTCCCAGACCTAGTCAGGAACCATAACCAGGGTATTAGGAAATGGTGACACAGACCTCTAGTCCCAGTGCTCCGGAAGCTGAAGCAGGGGGATCTTGAGTTCAAGGTCAGCCTGAACTACATAGCAGGATGTCATCACCAAATGACAAAACTTAACACAAGCCAACTTTCTGAGCTGGGACCCAGAGATTTGAGCTTTAACTTCTGTCTGTCTATCTAAATTTGTTATTTGAGACAGCATCTCATATTGTAGTTCAGGCTGTCCCAGAACTCACTATGTGGCTCAGGCTGTCCTTGAACTTGTGATGATCCTCCTGCCTCTGCCTCGAGTCCTAGTATTACAGGTTTGCGTCACTCCGCCCAGCTTCCTTCTACAGTTAACTTATCTGCATATTTAGTTTTTGCCCATCTGGACTTTAATTTGGTGTACAGTGTGAATCACCTATGTAGTAATTCCCTAATAATTAACAGCCACCTGCTCCAGGACCCTGTATTGACAAATCTAGTTTTCTCATCCCGAAGACATACTCCTTTTGCGGGCAAGGTTCGGAGGGGAGTCGCGAGGCGCCCTTCTCTCCCGTTGCCCTTCAGACCTGGGTACCTCAACATTCCCCTCCGCTACCTGGGTGGGATGAACCGGAGGCCTGGAGGCTCCAGGTCAAGGCCAGCTGCCGCCCCAGTGGGGATGCTGGTCCCAAAGTCGCAACCCCAGTTCTGGGAGCCCCGAACCCGGCCTCACCTCGCAGGGCCCCACGAAGAGAATCTTGGCCTTCAGCATCGCTGCCCGTTACCGAGAGCCGCGGAAGCCCACCGCCAAAGCGCGCCGAGATGCCCGCCGCGTCAGCCAGGAGGGCCACACACTCTGATTGGCTGATCGGTTTCCACGACGACCGGGAACAGCTGCGCAGAAGCCCAGGAAACTCCGCAAGTTCCCGAGTCTGGACCGGCGGGTCTACTATGGAAGCCGAGGAGGACCAAAAGAAGAAACGCAAAGCTAGTTCGACTGAGCATATTCTAAGCACTCTGGAAGGGTTGGAATGCTCAGGCTCCAATCTGCTGTATTTCTCCCGGTCACCGTGAACGTTCCAGGGAGTCAAGGAGCTACTAAGCTGGGCTGGAAACTAGAACTGTAACTTTTTCCCCCTCTTTATTCCTTTTACTGATGATTGAAACCCGGAGTTCCATTCATATTGGTGTTAGCCTGTGCTACACCTACAGCCCAATTTCTGCAGATTTAAAAAGGTTGTTGTTGTTTTCCTTGGGTGGGTGCTGAGATTGAACTCAGGTATTAATAAATCCTAGGCATGCACTCTGCCATTGAGCCACATCCCCAGTCCAACCCCCTGTGTAGATCAGGCTGACCTCGATGACTGCCTCTGCCTCTCAAGGGCATGCACCACTACTCTCGACCTCCTCTCTCTCGTTCTCCCGCTCCCTCTCTCCTGCCATAACACATATGTTAAGATCAGAGGGCAACCATAGGAGTAAGTTCTCTCATTCTGCCATACACGTTTTAGATCAGTTCTATTTTCCAGGCTTGATGGCAAGAGCCTTAGTCTGCTGAGCCACTTGCCAGCCCTGTCATTGTTATCTTGATGCTGAGATTGACCTTGGCCATCAGGAGCTTCTTCACGCCAGTGTCTCTGTTCCTTTGACATTTCTGTCATTTTCTGAGCATTTTCCTATATTAAACTGTGTATGTGGGCTGGAGAGATGGCTCAGAGGGTAAGAGCACTGCTGCTCTTCCAGAGGTCCTGAGTTCAATTCCCAGCAACTACATAGTGACTCACAGCCATCTGTAATGAGATCTGGTGCCCTCTCCTGGCCTTCAGGCATACATGCAGGAGGAACACTGTATACATAATAATTAAATAATTAAATACATCTTAAAAAAAAAAGAAAAATGTTCTTATAAAAAAAGAGTGAGTTTGTGTGTGTGTGTGTGTGTGTGTGTGTGGGGT